GGCTCGTGGGCACGTCAAAAAATATTAATTTTTTTAAAAAAATTTATCCAAAACGTGCAATTTACCAAAAAATTTAAAAAAAAAAACACGAGCTCACGAGCCGCTCGTGAGCTCGGCCCACGAGCTTGTGGCTCGTGAGCTCACGAGCTCGCCCCTGAGCAACGAGTCGAGCTCGAGCTTAGCTCGTCTTCCACGAGCCATGAGCTCGGCTAGCCACGAGCCCGAGCCAGCTCGGCTCGGCCCATTGCCATCACTATGTAAAACCCAAATGTCACCATACAATAGTCCCTTTCTTCTTTTGAATAAAAACCCAGTAAAAGTATTCATGTGAATTTCAATAGAAAAAAGGAAAATTCGTCCAGTCATGAAGTTTGAAGATTATTATTCTGTCTCCAGTGATTATTCTCCTCCACATTTTTAGAAATGAAAATGTCCTTTTTAATTTGAAGTTTTGATTTTTTTTAAATTTTTTTAAATTTTTTTATTTTTTTCTAAATTCATTTAACTATTGTTCTCCTCTGGTGAGTAATGATGCTAGTTTTTATCTTGTAAATATTTAAATAAAGTTTTTCTTTTTCTTTTTCAAATAAATGACGGTTCTATAAATTTTTCCCTATTTATGACAAGATGTTTATTTTATGATTTTTTTATATATATAATTTTTCATCATTTTCTTGAAGTATTGCATCCACCCTCAAACGCTATCACTGATTTGTGTTGGAATTTTTGACTGCGAGTGTATGTGAATGGAAAGTAAAGGATTGAAAATTATGGATAATCCCCAGCCAAAAAATGTTCATATGCTCTGAGAAGTGATTGGTCAAATGAGTTCTGATATACATTTTTCATTTGCGCCCCCACAATGGCTCTTAATGCTTAAAGCTTTCGAGGCATTTTATTTAGAAGTTTGCTACATGTACAGAAAATGGCTGCTAGAATCAATACTGATCACACAATGGCTGCTAGAATCAATACGGATCACACTTGGTAGAAATTTGTCCGATAATGGCGAAAAAAGACATGCACCAGATTCTGCATTTTGCGAATTTCTAGTATGTTTGTTTAAGCCTCGTGTTTTTAGGCATAAAGAGATGCTAGTTTTATGAGCGTAATATCTAACATTAGATACAAGTCACATGTGGACATCTTATTGTGGTAAGTGTTAATATCGCCACTTTTAATATCGTTAACATCGTCACTTAATGCGGCAATATTTAATCAACATAAATTATTTTTAACTTTGTCTTGCACTTATTCGCCGACCTCCTGTCTTGACATGGCCTATGATACTTGGTGCTTATTTGGGGAAATACACAATATTCTACTAGATGATATAAAATAAGAGAAAAGTAGTTATAATCTTTTATTGTTTCCATTGTTCAGTGATGTTCAATACTTCTAGCCTATGATGCAGAGACACATTTGTCCGAGTTCAGACACTTATTGTCCAACATATACCTATTGGACACGTTGACACTCGATTTTTCAAAAAAGCGCTGATATGATACATCGTCGACACATTAATTAAACTTTTCAAAATACTTCATTTATATAGTATAAATTTCATTTTGTATTTGTTACTCATTTTTCTTGTTGAAATCTTTTACATATAAGTACATATTTGTTAGTTGATAATAATTTTGAATTAAAAATATATTTTGTTCTAATTAGAATAAAGAGAAAATTGAACGTGGTAGAGTATTCGAGGAGTGTTAATATTTGACATGAGTCGTAGACGAACAAGTTATCTTAGTTGAAATATCCATACAACTGGGATGCTAGCAAACATACCTTTACTTTTGGATACTAGAATTCATCCTTGGTGGAATTAGTGCTACTTTTGAACTCCTGAGACCTGTATGGAATTGCCTTCATATGTAGGATAACTTGACAATGAGAAACGGAAATTTTTGTAGACTATTTCAAAACTTGACATGGGTACATAGAATTTTGCTTCTTGCTTAGTGAGGAAATTTCCTCAATTATAAATCCCCTCTAGGCGATTTACAGTGAAGTCTCAAACATTCACAAGCGTCGTTGCTTCATAATGCTTTTGTAACTCAAGAAGCCCTGTTCATACCTTTACATACAGTGGGTTGGTGCGCTGAAATTTACCTTCTGTGAACAGCTATGTCCGTGAAGCCATGAATGAATGAATTGCGATATAGTCGCCGAATAAGACACTGTTTTATTACTGACTCAAAATCCATAAAAGATTTCAGAGGGAAATAAAATAGAGACCTATATGAGAAAGAAAGAATTGTTGCAACATAAAACATTCTGCTTAAAACTTGTACAATGTTGATTTAGTAAAGCTTGTCTTACGATGATTTACGTGGGAAAACAGCTAAATATGTCTGTACTAGGCTCTGTGCAATGGCCAAAATTGCACCCAGAAAAGCGAAGACAATCTGACAGCTAAATGGTTGTGCATCCAGTCAGCAATCCATACTCGACTTTCATTCTTGCACTGCTTTCCAATCAGGTCCTTAGCATCCCCATAAGGGCAAAGAACGCGCACCAGATAATTAACTATTTTGTCAAAGAAATGGGCCAATTATTCGTCGCTACCAAAATTGTTCGAGAAGAATTCTTTCTTCTGGAGCTGTTTAAAATCCTTTGGCGTGATCGATGAGTGAATCCATCAGTCAAATGTTTGATGTAATGCGCAAGTCAGAAGGGCCATTGGACTAATTTCATAAGCCCCCAGATTTAATGGCAATGGTTTGAATCAACTTCTTTGGGCTCTGTTTCTATATCATCTGAACAATAACTTTCTGTATGATGCACATGAATTGGAGGACGTAGCAACCATCAAGAAACACCATTTCTATTCTGATGAACGATTCATTTCATAGATTTCAGTCGAGCCTTCTTCGTAGCATTCACAGGCACAATCAGTTATTTTCATCACCTCGTTCTATAACTGTTTTGATTGATAATTGATCACTACAGGCATGAACAAATTGCTGAGCATTTTCGATTTTGAGTTTCTCCAATGTTTTGAGCTCAGGTTTTCCATGATAATAAGGGCCTATTGAAACCACCTAGAGGATCATAACATTTCATGTTGGATTAATCTCGAAAATATTGATGGAAAAACCACACATTTTTGGATTTCGTGTATGTTTTGTAAAGCCTTACACAATTATAAGATGTGGGTCATACGAAATGCGTAAATCAACAGCTTAGACATTTCCAGCAGTTATGAGGTTATTGATAACTTCAATAGTGTGCCTTAGCTTATGGAATTAAACTAACAGTAATTTCTTGTAATTGGAGTTAAGCATCACTTTGGATCCAGAAAGAATTGCCATCTTGCTATGGAAGGTGGAAGTGCAAGTAATTGTAAAATTTTGATAGATTGGTTTTATTTTTCATAATCATTATTTAGTATTTCGCAATATCACAAGAGTCGAATCTTCAACTTGAAATATCAGCGACCATTTCAAAACAGTGGAACATAATAAAATTATTGCACCAGCATAGAATTAAGAACCGAAACAAACAGTAGAAGAACAAACTTTTACAACTGAAGAGCTTATTCAAGAACATTGATTTAGGAAGTCTTGCACCCTGAGGTATAGTACGTATAAGCAGCAAAATATGTCCGTGCCATAGTAAGGACAAGGACCAAAATTGCGCCTAGAAAAGCCAAGAGAGTCAAAAGACTGCTAAAATATTTGTGCATCCATTCAGCCATCCAGGCTTGTACTTTATTCTGGCAATGAATTTCAGTCTTCCGCTTAACTTCTGCATACAGGGGCGGACCCACATGGGATCATGTGGGATCAAATGACCCCACAAAATTTTGCCCCCCCTTTTTTTTTAACAATCTACTTTGATGCACTCGTCGGGATGTCAAATGAAGTCAAAATATTACATTCTTAATACCATTTTGAAGTGCTCATGGCCTAGTTTTCACTCATTAATAGCATGCGAAGTGGTCAACTATAGCAAAAGTTATGACATGTTAAAATAGGGCTTTTGAAACTAGTATTTTGAGAATTTTGATAATTTCCTAATTTTAAAAATTCGTTTGAGATCATGTGCTATCTGAATTCACAAATCGTCTATGTCATGTAAAAGTTTGTTTCGAAAACTACATTATTTTCATAATAGTCCAAACAGATATTGAAAATAGTTAAATATATATCAAACGTACGCTTCAAAAAGAAGTCTAACTCGTTTTTTCTTTTAAAAAATTCAATTAATTATTATTTTTGCACGATAAAATTTTCAATATAATTTATATCATTTCATTCAGAAGTCTTACATGAAATATGACGTAAATTTTTTAGGGTCATTACGGATTAAATGCAATTTGAATTACTTTCAAATTATATTTACTTTAAATTTGAATTTTATTTACTTCCTGAACTAAACTTGAATTTTATTTCAATTCATTTAATTTCTATATTCAATTTAATTTACTAAATGTTTGCTTGGCATTTGCCAATGAAATGATAAACAAAATTATACAAGTAGCAAAATCTATTTAATAATATTAATAATGATGTAATTATACAACGTTTTCAAAGTGTCAAAATACATATAAACTTATTTTCATTGATATTATGTTGTTTATTAAAAAAAAATTATTTTTAAAATTTTGACCCCACAATACTAAAGGTTTGGGTCTGCCCCTGTCTGCATATATAGTAAAATCAGCTACCAAATCTTTACCAATCTTGTTAAAGAATGATGCCAATTCTTGGTCGCTGCCCAAATAGTTGACAAGAATTTTTCTCTTCCTGAGCTCTTTAACATCATCAGCATGATCAATGAGCGAATTCATTAGACAAATGTATGACGTGATGCCCAGACCTGAAGGACCATGGGGACACATTTCATAAGCCATCAAGTTTAATAGTAAAGTTTTTGTTGGATCATCAATGAAGATTGGACGAAGTGTAAGAGTACTAAAAATAAGGTGAGATTTGAACTCTCCATGAGTAAGATTTCCGGTTTGACATGAATTCCTACTGATTCAAGCTCGGTTACTGTACGAAATGATTCCCATAAATCCACCTCTTCTTTGTCTTCCTTCGTAATTGGCCTGAAAGCAGCTGTTCCCATATTAGATGTAGAAGGTGAGGGCTTTTATCCAAATCTAATTTCGTGCTAGCATCACATGAATTACTTAATTGGTAGAATTTAAAGAATTTCTGAATTAACTCTTTCTGCCTTTCACTATCAAATATGAAATTCATCAAAGCTCTTAGTACTAGGAAAGGAATTTGATTCTCTAGCAAGAGCAAGTCCACAGAGATTAAACCTTGGTAGTAACCCATGTACAGTCGTGGATCTACATTTTGTTCCTTATCTATCCCGTTGGACATAAAATGAAGAACAAGGCAAGCATCAAGAAACATCATTACATCAGTCTGTTGAACAATTCATCATCATACTTTTCAGTCAAGTCTTCAGCGTAGCATTCGCAGGCACTTTTACCTACCTTTGCCACTTCTTCGTATAACTGTTCGATGGACACTTGATTACTAAGGCAACGACAAAACTTCTGCGCGATTGGAATTTTTAGCTGCTCGAATGCTTCAAGCCCTGGCTTTTCATGATGATAAGGGCCTATCGAAATTATGATAGGATCATAAAAATTTTCATTTGAGTTACTCTGACGTAGCAGTGGTGGAACCCTTTCTATTTGGAGTTTCTTTGTTGTTTCGTCAACCTTACAGTTCTTTATAGAAATCAGCCACTCATCCTTGGTAATTTTGTTGCTTGATTCTTGTGATTTTGTGCCAGTTTGAGTGATTTCAGCACTTTGGCTTTCTTCTTTGGCTCCAACTGTTGTCATCCCTTGAGCATGAATTTGTGTAAGCACATATTTTTAGCAGGTTTTTGATAAAATTTTATGAACTTTTTAATTAGTCAAACTTCAATTTTAAACATACACTTCATGAGATTTACAACTTTTATCAACTTTTGAATAACAAATTTCATACTCCCTCCATCCCAAAAAAATAGTCATATTTCATTTTTTTTTTCGCACATATTAAGAAAATTTTGTTAATATAATTGAATTAATAAATTTTACTATCATTTTTCCTAATATAACCCTACATTAATGCAATCAATATTTAAGGTAATTAAATTATTCTTGCTATAAGTCATTGTTTAATACAAGAATCAAGATAATTAACATTCCAAAATCATCTAATACAAATACAAATGAATAAATGTCATGGAAGATGAATCTTTTTTTATTTTTAATTTATTGTTTCAACTACAATTGAATAATGGAGTAGTTTATATTTGTGATAACAAAACACATTAAATATGGGTTTATTGGGACTAATAAATTGACTACACTCTCAAATAAAAAAATATGACTGTAATTTGGGACAAAAAAGAAAAAAAAAAAAAAGAAAGAAAGAAAATAGAATTATCTTTATGAGAAGGATGGAGTAACTTTTATCAAAATCTACTTAATTTTTTTATCAAAAACTTCGTCAAACAGATCTTAGATTGAAAATTTTAGATCAACCGTCATGTGTTGAGAAAAAAAAATTGAATAAAATATTTTTCCTCTTTGATGATTTAAATTCGTAAATGAGTTAATTGACGAGTTGAGATCTGCTATCCAAAATTTGTTGTCCAAGTTGTTATCCACCAATGATTCATTGACACATCATTTCACACCTATTTTTGAGCACAAGTGGTAGTCAGAGAAAAGTTGGATATATTAATTTAAAATAACGTGTCAATGAATCATTAGGTGGATAGGACGTTATATTATACGTACTATTCACTTTAGTAGAGCATCTTCCTTTTTGTCCTTCATGAATTTCTATTGGGTCCCCTAGAATTCGAATTTAAGACTTATGCCTTATGAGAAGTTTAAGTTAAATTCTAGTACCAATTTGTAAGTAATCGGCTCAAATTTTTTGTCACATCTCAACATCAACTTAGATCTCTCATAAAGTAAAGGTTTTGAGTTCAAATCTTAGGAAACACGACATACTGCTGTAAGGAATAAGAAGAAAGATGTTCTTACAAAGCAGATAGTATTTAACGAGTCAAGGATCTGGGCATAAAAGCCTGAATTATTACGCATGTCATCAACTTTTATCAAAAGTTTTGTCAGCCCATTTGATATCATGATTCAATTTAAGTCTTTCATAAGGCATAGGTCTTGAGTTCAAGACGCTAGAAATTCGTAAAGGATAAAATAAGTTTAAGCTCTCCTACAATAAACAATATGTAAGTTAACGATTTGAGTATATATGCTATATCGTTATAAAAAATGTATATTTTTTTGTAACGATAAAGCCTTGTGCCCACGTCGTTCTTTTACATACTGTCTGCTTTGGAAGGATAGATGATATCTCAAAGCAAACAATACGTGAGAGAACGACTTGAATCGTTACATGTTTTTTTCCAACAACTCCTTAGTTGGAATTTGGGACAACTATCGTGTGTGTTAAGGAAAAAAAAAGGATAAATATTTATACTCTATAATGATTTAAATTCATAGGGAGTTGGTCGACACATAATAACACACTTGTACAAGAAATTGGCGCATTTGTTAAAATTTTGATGATGAATGAACTTGCGCATGTCAACAACTATCAGTGGGTCACCAGTGGCGAATCCAGGGCCAAAGTTTAGCTAGGGCGGACGACGGATGTCGATCGTTGACAATCATCGACGGTAATAGCGATGTCATTTATTGATATTTAATTAAATAATATTAAAAATTCTTCAATATATATGAAAATGCAATAAAATGTAAAAATTCTACACATATGAAATATAATTCAATGCAACATCGTTTTATTTACTTATGAAAATATAATTCTACACTTGAATTGAGCCCAACATCTTTTTATTTATTTATCCTTCATTTCCTAAACATAAATACCCAATCACAAATCAAAATTCATAAATGATAAATTGTAACTCATAATTCATACAACATAAATTATTTATCATAAATCATAGCTCAACAATCACAATTCTTGTTTCTCAGTCATTTTGTCAATTAACTTATGAAACATAAATCATAGGTTCATAAGAAATTAAGAATCATAACACTCATAACACATAAATAATAAATAAGAAAAATGAATTATATGATTACTAATTATGCAAACACAGAACAAAAACCCAAAAAAGAGAGGAAAGAAGCAGCTCACTGACTTGAACGAGGAAGATGCGCACTAGCTGCTCACAAACTCCACTTCCAAGAGCCTGCTGACAATGACTCGTTGTTGTCGCCACTCGTCCGTTGACAGCAAGTTAGCAACTGCTTTCCTCAGCCGTCATAGATCACACAGCAGTAGCCTGGAGAAGGTGGAGAAGGGTTTGCATTCGGTAATTTTCTAATTTGCCTTCACTTGGTCTTGGACTTCTGTTACATATATGATACATGGATAATGGATTCATTGGATTGGGCCTAGTTTAAAAAATAATAATAATAAAGTCCCACAACTACAACCATGAGGAATCAACCCAAAAAAGAAAAAGAAAAAAAAATTACACGGCCCAATTCCCAAACCTCGCCTTCTTCACCATTCGTCTGTGGTCTCCCTCTGCAACTGCAACTGGTTTGGCGCCCGGTGGACGGAGAAAACTCAGAGTTCGGGCGGAGTCCAGCACGCGCGGCCGCGCCTCCTCGTCGGGTGCTGGCTCCGCCACTTCACAAACATGACGATTTGATGATATAACAGTGAAAGTCAAAAATAACTATCAAAACTGAAAGCAAAATGATGTTTGTACCAAAATTTCCTTCATTAAGTCGGTCTACTTTCTCAAATCGTTAACAGACAAATTTATTTTATCAAAATTGAAAGGAAAATAATATTTGGACCTCATTTTCCTTAATCAAGGCTGGAATATGACTTCAAAAATTGTTAAATCACAATGTAAAACGATGAACATCAAAGTTAATGCTTGAACCTCATTTTCCCTAATTAAGTATGCAAACTAACATTTTTTTTAATACCTTGTTAGACTTTCCGAGTTAGAAAAATATGTTTCACTACTAATCTTACACAAAATATGCAAGAAAATAAACACGTAAGAAGTCACAAATAAACATTTAAAAACTCAACATTTCATTATTCATGATCTCAACTCCATTTCTAAATGTTTATACTATCGTTCGTACTTTATAAATGTGGGTTTTTTGCGAATTTCTTGCTTTTCTTTCTGCAAGAAATCCAGGATAAAAAATGCCATTATTAACCATAGAAGTTTATTTTTCTTAATTTTCCTTAATACATATGAGATTTAGCAAATAAAAATCACTGTAATCCAAGAATCAACAAAAGAAATTTTGCAAAATTACAATAAAAATATTGAAATATAAAAATAAGAGTTGTGATGTGTGTACGCAATGATGTATACACAGGCTTACACCCCCCTCACATGGAGGGGGCCCACATGTAATATAATATTCATAGACCCTCTCCATGTAAGGAAGGTGTAAAACTGTGTGTACGTACACACATCATTATCCTAAAAATAAAGGACAGTCAACAAATTGTACCAACTAGCAAAGTCAAGCCTCTCTCTCCCATTTGTCGAACGACTGCTAAACATGTTAAGAGCAATGTGAGTCGTCTTGGGTTGGCAAAAGCAATATTTATAGGACTGGCATCCAAGCCTATAACCAAACCATAGGCGTGAAAGCTTAACCGAACCTGCCACTGATTGACCACCTATAGGGCCTATTTGTGTCCCTTTAATTTGAAAAAATGTATTGTGGAGTAGTGATTGATGTTCAAATGTGTGGTTAAAAAAGAAAGAATTTTTTTTATTTATGTGTAATATTATTTTAATGAAGAATATGATTAAAAATGAGTACTATAGAAAAAATAATATGATAGAATTGTTGACAAACAAAGGCATAAAAAGGATAAGATGGTCCCGCCTCATAATTTCTCATTTATTGCTCTCACAAGCTGAATTTTTGAGAGCCAAACAAGGAGGAAGATAGAGAGAGAGGGTCGTGGGAGTATTGTACTACTAGTCCTTGAAATTAAAGGCCCCCAATTTAAGGCATTGTTTTAGAGCTCACACTCAAGTATTTTTAAGTGATTGAGTTTTTATTTCCTTTTAAGTCTTCATTTCATTCAACGCATAGTAATCATTCGCTGTATAACAGAAAAATAAATACTGAATATAATAAATAATTTTTTTATATAGTGAATGTATATGTAGTTTTTTCCAATTACTAAAAACATACGTATTTCCAAATTTCCAATAGTTTCCCTGAACCCCAACCTTTCCCAGACAAGCCCTAACACTACTCAAATCAAGCATTGTACATTACGTTGTGATTGCTATACAATAACCATTTCTGTGGGCAACCAGGAAGGGACAAGCACAAGTGTTGGTTCTGTAATAGGGAAAGAGTGGGCACCATTAGAAATTGAATAATGCTATTTATGATCGCTCACTGTCGATAGTTGCTTTACGTGATAGTTTGTTATTTGAGGATTAACTAGTTATTTGAGGAAATAAAATTTTAGGAAATTAATACTTTAAACAACAAACTGACACATAGGTGAGGATATGATCAAAGGAATAGATATTAAGATGTGATATGATGATGGTGTGTCTATGGTTGCTCCAAAGGGACACGTAAATCTGCGTGAATCACATGGTAATTATAATATTATGGTAGCCATTTCTCATTCATTTTTAGATATTATCTAAACGTTGCACGGTAAATGGGCCTTTGAATTTCACTTCCCTTTGACATGTAAGAGACATCCCTGTACATTAAAAATCCTTTCATTTACATCTTGCCGTTTTTACCACTCTACACTCCAACCACCTTCAATCAAT